AACTCTCAGGGTCTCTTCATTTTTCTTTGTTCTTTTTTCTGAGTTTTCCTGAAACAGAGTTGTATCCAAGTGTTTGTCTTCAATTCCACTGACCGTGTTTTCCACCGTTTCAAATCTGCTTCTCAGCTCCTCTATGACATCGTCCATTTCTGAAATCTTGTTGTTTATCTTTTGGATTTCTAATTGTTGTCTTTGTATAATTTCTAGTTGTAAATTTATTTTGCCATTTTGTTCCTGCATTATTTTCCTGAATTCTTCCAAATTTTTGTCCATATTTTCCATGGATTTGTCTATGTTTTCCCCATGTTTGTCAGCTTTTTGCCTCAGCTCTTGGAGAATTCTGAGTATTAGAGATTTGAATTCCCTATCAGGTAGTTGTAGTGCATTTTCTTCCACTGGAAAGTCATCTGCTGTTTTATTTTGGACGCCTATTGGAACCATCCTGTACAGCCTTTCAGGAAGAAGCAAACATGGCGCACGGAGCCAGGTATTTGAGCGAAAGGAGGGGGAGGTGGTGAGAGGTAAGGAAGAAATCAAAAGAAGCAGGAAAAAAAGCAACACTAGCAGCCAACAAATGGCAGTCAGAGAGCCAGCTAGTGGAGGCTCATGTTTCTCGGACAAGAGACTGTGTCCACGGGAAGCAGAGGGGGCCGAGCAGGGGAGAAGAAGTGTAGGGAGTGGGAAAGCGTATATCACAAATCACCGGAGCTCTGCAGCCCCTGAGGAAGAAGCAAAGATGGTACACGGAGCCAGGTATTTGAGTGAAAGGAGGGGGAGGTGGTGAGAGGTAAGGAAGAAATCAAAAGAAGTGGAAAAAAAAAAGCAACAACAGCAGCCAACAAATGGCACTCAGAGAGCCGGCCCGTTCGGGTGTGTGGAATCCAAGCAGCCAGTGTTTCCTGGTGAAGAGATTGTGGCCACGGGAAGCAGAGGAAGCCGAGTGGGGGTGAAGAAGGTTGGGGGGTGGGAAAGTGTATATCGCAAATTACCGGTTATTTTCTCTCCCGCTGGACGCTCCGTGAGGCTGCTTTCTCGTACCCCCTGTTTGCTGGTCTCCGATAGGAGTCCAAGATGGCGGATCCACGCTGTGTTAGCTGGTGGGGGACCTCCGCATGAATCTCTCCTCGCTCTCTGTTCTCTGTCAGTTTTCTCACTCCATTTGGTGCTTGGCTGAGTTCTTTCTCTCTTCATTTGATGTTTTAGGGTTTCAGGATTATTGTATTCTTTGTTCGGCTTAGTTTTTCGGATCTTTGCCGTGGAGGGATGGTGTGGTGCTTCTGCCTAGAGCGCCATTTTGCCGGAACTCCTCAAGTATATTTTCTTGATTAAATGTGAAGCATAATAACTTCACAGTAAGCCAGGATTCTGATTTTCTTTTGTACATACTGATAACTACATGGCTTGGAAAAATTACTTAAGTCATCAGTGAAGGTATTAGAGATAAATATTATCATACTGCTTTATAGCCAAGCCTACATTCATTTACTTTTAGTCTTCCTATGAAGTTCTGGGACACTTTAAAGAAGCCCCCTCATGCCAGGCTTAGTAAAGTGACAACAAGGTGAAGAGACTGCCATGTGAGGACACATCAGCCTGGAAACGTAAGACCCTGCAGCATCTGACTGGGGTCAACATAAACTTGTTCACCCAAAGCACAGAACCAAGCTTACTGACAAAACCCAAACTCGTTGCTGTCAAGTCAATTCTGACTCATAGCGACCTTATAGGACAGAGTAGAACTCCATAGAGTTTCTAAGGAGCAGCTGGTGGATTCGAACTGTCAACCTTTCGGTTAGCAGCTGAGCTCTTAACTACTGCGCCACCAGGACTCCTCAAAAGCTAAAGGAAGTAATAACTGGGGGGCGGAGAGGAGGAAAGGACCACTTTATAAAGAGTAACTTCCTATCAGTTATTATTCCAAATGGGAGGGCAGGCTAAAAAAACAAATAGGTTTAGAAAAGATCTACATAAATGCAAACAATACTTCCATAGAAAAAGCGTGACTATAAGGAGTCTTAGTGGTACTAATAGTAGGTGGGAACACTCTACCCTTACATCAGAAAACCAAAACCTGTTGCTGTTGAGTTGATTCCGACTCATAGCGACCCTTATATCGTGCTGTTATAAAAAATTAAAATAATATCACTAAATCTAAAATAATTAACATAAAGATTAACTTGAACAATACATTAGTATTTATAATAAATATAAATTTTGGGGTGCCTACTGTGTGCTAAGGAGTCCCTGGGTGGCGCAAACAGTTAAGCACTCAACTAATAGCTGAAAAGGTGGCAGTTCAAACCCACCCAGAAGCACCTCAGAAGTAAGGCTTGGTGATCTGCTTCCAAAAACTACAACCTTGAAAACCCTATGGAGCAGTTCTACTCTGCACACATGGGGTAGCCATAAGTCTGAATTGACTCGATGGCAACTAACACAATAGCACCGTGTGCTGGACTTTTATAAATATGGCATGTAATTCTTAGAACAACACTGCAAGTTAGAAATTATTACTTTCATATGACAGATGAGGAAACTGAGGCTTGGAGCAGCTGTTAGTTGCCTGAAGCCACAAAGCTAAGGAGGGTAGAACTGGGATTTGAACCCAGGTGCGTCAGCTCCGAAGTATGCATCCCTTCTACTATGCCACACCTTCTCCCTTGTATACGGGGTTAAAAACCTCATTGCTGTTGAACTGATTCCGACTATAGTGACACTATAGGACAGAGTAGAACTGCTCCATAGGGTTTCCAAGGCTGTAATCTTTATGGAAGCAGTCTGTCACATCTTCCTCCCATGGAGCAGCTGGTGGATTTAAACTATCAACGTTTTGGTTAGCAGCCGAGCACTTAACCACTCTGCCACCAGGGCTCTTTGTATGGGTTAGAGATTAAATAAAGCATTAGGTACTAGTAATAGGAAATTATTAAATAACAACAACAACAAAAAACATAAAAAATGAAAAGCAGTTAAAAGAAAGGGTAAAAACTGAAGTTATTTGTAACTAAAACTCTTACATATTAATGATCCCAAGAGGGCCCAGGAGACCCTCAATAAAACTGTAGCATTGTGAGGGCTTTATTTTTCCTTCCATTTTCACCATTATTACAAGATATAAATCTAATATCTTCATTTATTTACAGTTCAGAGAATGTGAAAACCTTAAGCTTGTTTCCATCTGAAGAGATTAGTTTATTTAAACACAGCAGGAACTGGCCATATAACAGCTTTTGAATTTACCTTTATTCCAATTTTATATGTTTTATGATTTAACTAGAAAAAAAAATCTAAAAGTATACCTCTATGAAATTCACCATCCAGGCTGGAAAGCCAGCTTATGGGGAATAGTACTTTTTGCAGCATCTCAACCATTTTAAAAAGTCCTAAAAATGAAGTTAGTCTCCAAGTTTTATTGCCTCTGTTACCCTTATTGACCCCAGATGAATCACTTGCATTATTGCTGACGACTAAAAACTCTATATAGGGACTGTTGCTGTGTGTCATCAAGTCAAATCTCACTCATAGCCACCCCATGTGACAGAGGAGAACTGCCCCATAGGGTTTTCTTGGCTGTAATCTTTGCAGAAGCACATCGCTAGGCCTTTCTCCTGCAGAGCTACTGGGTGGGTTTACATCTGAAGAATTAATCATCTATACCTACCTTTTCTTCAAAGAATTTTTTCCTTAATTTGGCATCTTTGGGTGGTATAGTTTTCCTCAGGTTTTGGTACCACTTTCTAACAATATGTCCTCTCCAACAGGCTTGGATCCTAAAACACAGACATCTGAAAATAACTAAACCCTGATGATTTTATTTTAACAAATATTTCAGTACTTAGATAAGTCAGGTACTGTGCAAGACAGTAGGGAGATTATGGCAGCCAAGAGGACAGACAAAATCCCTATACCTTTTTAAAATGAGTTATTATTAGCTTGGTTTCTAAATATATACTTTTATGTTGCAGTACAGTTTTTTCCTAATTAGGTTGGAACCATGACTGATTTGCTGAGGCAATTCTTACCTTGTTGCACACTTGACTTTGAATAACCGGGCTCCATCATGAATCACTCTGGTTTGATACTGGTTCTTTCTACAGAGAGGGCAGGTTTTTTTATTTGTGAACTTTTCAAAAGCCTGAAGGCATGCCTGAAGAAAAACATTTCACTTAAAATTTTATGAGTAATTACTTATAAACAACGTTTCTATGTCTAATGTAATTATAGTGTTCTTTTCTCTCATAATTATGAGACTTGGTCCAATTTAGATTATGAAGTGGAGAAGTTTCATCAGATGTTAACACCTTCCTCACGAAACCTGTTCCAAAAATGAAATTTTACAAGAATATACATGCAGATACATCAAAAACCTCTGAAAACCAACTAATGTAAAGGTAAATCATCTTTGTGTGTAAGACTAACACGCAGTTAAATCAGCTGCATTAAGCTATCATTCACTTTGATGTACATTATTAACAACAATCTGCTATACAAACATCTGTGGTTCTTTTGTCACATAAAATTCATAATTTTGAAAACAGGATGAATTGTACTGTAGCCTAAAGTCATGTTTCTAACTATAAATGGTGCTTTGGATAAAATAAATGGCACTTTTTAGGAGACTTTCGAATGAGTAAGACTAGGCTAGATTTCTTTAAGTTACAAGAGTGATGTATTGCATACTTTATTATAGGAGTTAAAATAGGATTTACTTACTCTGTGAAATACATGGGAACATGAAAGCAGCACCTGTTCATGAGAAAACAAGAAAAAATGTTTGAAGTTTGAATTAGTTTAAAAGCGGGGCACATAAATGCATTAATTAAAAGAAAAATTCTGAATGCGCAAAAGGTAAGCTGTGTTGTTTCTTTTGAAAAACTAAGAGTTGATTAATAACCTTGATATTTATATTTAGTGCTTATACACAAATATATAAACAAGAAACAAAGTTAACAACAATATAACACATCAAATAAACATATGAAGTTTGATACAAAGCCATTAAAATGAGTGTATAGTTAAAAAGGAAACAATAAGAAATGGATATACCTCCTGGGTAGATGACATGGGTGCGTGCTAACTGGGGGGGAGAAGAAGAAGGACTTGGGACAAAGGATGTGCGGTGTTAAGAGGAGGAAGCAGGGAAATGTTAATACCTTTTTTTACTGCTTTGTTCAGCCAAATTACACTCTTTTTTTTTTTTAAAAATCAGTTTTATTAAGATAATTCTGACACTGTTAAATTTAAATAGCATAAATTATGAAGCCGTAGGAATCACTTGTTTTTTAAAAGCAGTGAAAGTGTGCGCACAAGAAAACTTCACCTTTCTGTGACCCAAAGTCACCACCAAATAGTGATATTCTTTCTGGGCTGTGACAAAAGACAGAAGCTTAGACTGAATTAAAGAAAAACGTAGTTGGTTCTTTGAGGAAAGAAGAACCAAGGAAGGCGTGAAACCAGAACAACCAGTATGTGCTACTGAGCTGGCAAAAACAAAGGCTCAGTGGCCAGCAGCCAGCCCAGATGAAGGAGAAGCTTTCAGCTACACTGGCTTTTTTCCGTCCCTTAAGAGAAGAAAGTTCAGGAAACTTGTGGGACTAAGGAAGGGGTGGCAGCAGACAAAGAGATTTTTCTCAATAATCTGACTTTAATGAGTGTATTCTTTAACACTCTCTAGTTAAGATTTAAATCTCAGGTCTACCTAGGCAGCCTGATTTTGGTAAATCTTTCCAGTTTTAAAACCTGCTTTCATGCAATCCATACTTTTTTCTTAAATGGGAAGAAAGGAAGAAACGTTAGAATAAAAAGAGAACTCAGAAAGTTCTAAAACCCGTTTTTGAAACTTACTGCCAATAGTAAGTTTAAACTGGATAAACTCAGTAATATGGATCCTTTTTTTTAATCACCATTTAATCTAATAGCAATCTTTTGTATACTCAATTACTCATTCTTTATAATCTTTCAAAGAATTTTATTAAAAAGATTATTTGACAAACTATATTGAATCACACTATATTCTGTATATCTGAATATACCATGGGTTGTCAGAAGAATGAATAAATTTGTCTTGGAAGAAGTACAACCAGAGTACTTCTTAGAAGTGAGGATGGCAAGACTTCATCTCATGTACTTCGGACATGTTATTAGGAGGTACCAGTCCCTGGAAAAGGACATCATGCTTGGTGAAGTACAGGGTCAGTGAAGAAGAGGAAGACCCTCAATGAGATGGACTGACACAATGGCTGCCAACAATGAGCTCAAACATAGTAATGATCGTGAAGATGGCACAAGACCAGGCAGTGTTTCATTCTGTTGTACGTAGGGTCGCTATGAGCCGGAACTGACCCAACGACACCTAACAACAACAACATATTTAAAATAATATACTTTTAAGTGTCCATTAATATTTGCTATTGGCAAATATTGTCCGACACAGCAAAAATAAATTATAAAGCGGTGGCAAATACACTAAAAATGTCCCAGAAGTTAGGATTAAATTCCAACTGGACTCTACCATAATGCTTTCAGCTGGCCTATTGTGATCACTTGAATTATTCATTTCCTCAACAGTTAAATGGGCATAATACCTCCTCAGGGACATATGAGATTAACTGAAAGCATTCTGAAATCATAAATGTTGGGGAAATACGAACTTTTGTTATAATTAAGGAAAAACCTAAAAAAGGAACAAAACTAGAAATGCAAAATAAAGAGAATAGTGTTTACCTCTACAACTAAACAAAAGTAACAGAATTTAGTGAGAAATGTATAAAAAACATACAGTGGAAGAAACATTGAGCAGGATACATCCTGATTCCCCCTTAAGATATTCAACTTTAAGTTTTCATTCTTCATATAAACAATCATGCTAAATATTTATAGTATAATTAATAAAGAAGTTGCTGAGGCCCAGAAGATTCCTTGTAGCTTTATTAACTCTTCTGCTATACTGCAACTCTACATTATTCTGGATGGCAATTCGGTTGTTTAAAGGTTAAAATCTTTCCAAAATCCTCAACTTTCACATATGTCAGACTAGATCCTGATGGAAAACTGGAATATAACTACATTTAAAATAAACTGTGAATTCAAAATAGTTAAAACACAAATATTTTATGATTGTGAACTTACTTCTTAATGATGAAACTTAATAAAACAAATGAAGGTTGAGAGTTTCTGTCCAGGGTAGTGAGCAAAGCCTGAGGTTTCCAGGCTGTGAAGTCTAAGCCTAGTTTTAACTATACTTGCTGTATTTTTTCGGCAAATATCTGAGTGCCTGCTATGTAGCAAGCATAATTACACACTGTGGGAAATCATTCTAGGACAACCATTGGCTCTAAAAATAATTCTAAGAATATAAGTGTCTCTAATTTCCAGGAGATTACAATTTGCTTAGGTTGACAAAATATGTATAGAAAAAAACCTACAACATGGATTACATACTATCTATAAATCCAGGTTAACGCCACCAATATTACTACAGTAAAGTTTCACAAATAAAAATTATTAAAAGATTTTACTTTTCTTAAAGATTCTTCTACAAATTCCTTGGAGACATCAAGTACAGGTTTCGTTTTTTTTTTTTTTTTCCTTCTTTTCTCCTATGATCCCAATTCACAAAACAACTTAAAAATTCTTCTTGCCTGCCCTGCGATAAAAGTGCTTCTCTGTATTCTCACATCAGTTGCTTCCCTACTTTTCAATTGTTTAGGGCTAGCAGAATGCAAGAATTTCTTTGTACAAACTTTTGAAAACTTGAAAATGAATATGATTTGGCAAATAAAACAGTTTCCTGAGGGCTTTTAGCTCTTTCTTACACACACCCTTTAATTAATGGAGAAGAAAATGTAAGGGTTTAAGGGTCACATAGGAGGATGAAACCGGAAAAAAGAAGCCTGGGATCTTAAGCCCCAGTTCAGTGTCTAGTCACTAGAAAACAGCTTCACTGAACTCATTTATCTGATCTTCATGCTAAACACCTGGGGATGAAGTTCAAACTCTTCTTTACAGATCGGGCACGGATGCAGAGAATCCCCTTCTGTTATGGATCTTTGTTTCACTTTTTCCCATTCATCTGTTGATAGTGGCAATGGAGGAGGTTCAAATAGGCCCAACTTCTGTGCTAAAGTTAAAACAATACAAAATATGAGTTAAAATCTGTTTTAGAATACAGTACTCATGTATAATTTTAATGACATTATTTTGCATACAAATATTAAAGCAATACGTTTATATAATTACTTTATTTCAAAATATATAGATTGCTGCTTTTCTATGGAGCCATAGAAGTCAGTGATAATACCTTACATTTACAATAATGTTTTATGTTTTCATTTACAAGGGATTTTCCCATATCTTACTTCATTTTCACAATAGTTCCATAAGGCAAGCAGGATTAATGTCCAATTTTATAGATGGAAAATTAAAGAACAATAATTTTTCACACATATTGGCCAAACGTCCTCATCATTTCTCACCTGATTTATCTTTCAGGCTTCAGCATTACCTCTTTCCATTAATCCTGTATCTACCACTAGGGACCTTTATAAAATGCATATTGATTATGCTCCTCCCCTGCTAAAAAGTTCTTATGACTTACAATTACCGTGTGCATAAACCCCTTAATTCAACCATATCTGAGTACCCACCACATGTCTACTCCAGGTCAAGCATCGAGCTCATAGCTTAATGGGACACTGACTTTGAAAAAAGTAACTGCAATATACTGGGGCAAAATGCTGGTGGGAACATGAGTATCAACTTCCACTAACTTGCCGTGGCCCCAAAATGACAGTAAATGTATTTTTAAAAGTGTCAACTTCCAATGATATCTTTAGAGATATAAAATAAAATGTCATGTTCATGAATTAAGAACAAGAAGTTATGACAAAGGAATATTCAAAGCACAAAAAAAGAAAGCGCTTGAAAACTGGAAAATTTAGGAATGAGAAAGTCAGCCAAAAGGCTGGAAGAAAAACGTAAGCTAATTCTACAGAAAGTAGGGAAAAAAAGACACAGCAGGAGATGGAAAACAAGAAAAATTAGAGGATTGGTCTGGGAGATGTGACATCTGAATAATACACATTTCAGAAAGAAAACAGAAAATGAAGAGCAAGAATTTTAAAGAAAATAACCCAAAACATTTCCCAGTAGTGAAGGACATGAGTTTCTAGTTTGAGAGGGCTCACCAAGTGCCCAGCACAATAGATGAATGAAGACTCACACCTACTCCCATCAATGTGAAATTTCAGAACAGTAGAGACAAAAAACAGATCCTAAAAGCTTTGAGAGAGAGAGAGAAAAGAAGTCTCAAAATAGGAACATTTTGTTGCTCATCCAGAATCCAAACCTTGGTTTCTAAATCCCATTCTCCTTGGAGAAATGGTTGATCCTAGGGCCAGGGTAGAGAATTATGAGATGGACCTGGAGCATCATGTAGTGCCAGAAAGACAAAGTGCTGAAAACACAAAGGATGAGAACGTTGTGAGCAAGAAAAATAAATAACATCAGTATTGGATTATAACCCAAAGTATAAGTAAACATACGTGAGTCTATACTGATACATTTCATTTGCTGATGTGGCACGACTCAAAATGAGAAGAAACAGCTGCAAACATCAGTTAATAATTGGAACATAGAACGTACCAAGTATGAACCTAGGAAAATTGGAAATAGTCAAAAATGAAATGGAATGCATAAACATCAATATCCTAGGCATTAATGAGCTGAAATGGACTGGTATTGCAGCCAGATACCAACCTAGGAAATGAACTCTCAAGGACTATCCAAAACCAAAAGAATTACAACAGGGAACCAGAGAGGTTAATCTGTAAATGGCAATAACATCAGAACAACAAAGGAGGGATAAACGGTGTCAGTATAGAACCTACGAATGGAGACGAAGGCAAGGCGATACCAAGTAATAAGAGATTGGGTCAAATCTAGGCAGATAAGGGTAAATTTCAAGGTAACCACAAAAAAAGTTAACAAACCTACTCGTCAAACTAAAGAAGAAAAACATAAAGTCTCAGTAAAAACAAAATCTACAAAAATAAAAGAAATGAAAAAAAAAATCAACAAACAAAAGGAATTCAGCACAGGAGAGTAAGAGGAACAAAGAAAAAGCACTAAAAAATGACAGCAATAAACTCACACCTATTAATAATTACACTCAAGGTAAATGGCCTAAATGCACCCATAAAGAGATGGAGAGTGACAGAATGGATAAAAAAAACAGGATCCATCAATATGCTATCTACAAGAGACACACCTTAGAAACAAAGATGTAAATATACTAAAAATCAAAGTATCGAAAAAGATATATCAAGCAAACAGCTACCAAAAAAGAGCAGGAGTGGCAATAATAATCTCAGATAAAATAGACTTTAAAACAAAATCCACCATAAAAGACAAAGAAGGGCACTATATCATGATTAAAGGGATGATACAGCATCAAGACATAACCATAATGAACATCTATGCAACTAATGACAGGGCTCCAAAATACACAAAACAAACTCTAACAGCACTGTAAAAAGAAACTGACAGTTCCACAATAATAAGAGACTTCAACACACCACTCTCCGTAAAGGACTGAACATCTAGAAAGAAACTCAACAAAGATACAGAAGATCTAAAGGGCACAATCAACCAACCTGACTCCATAGACATACATAGAACACTCCACCCATCAGCTGCAAAATACACATTCTTTTCCAGTGCACATGGAACATTCTCCAGAATAGACCACATCTTAGGCCACAGAGAAACCCTCAACAAAACCCAAAACATTGCAAAACATTGAGATAATACAAAGTATCTTCTCTGACCACAACACCTCAAGGTAGAAATTAACAACAGGAAAAGCAAGGAAAAAAAAAAATCACTTTCATGGAAACTGAATAACACCCTGCTTACAAACCACTGGGTAATAGAAGAAATCAGAGATGGAATCAAAAAATCCTAGAATCAAACGAGATGAAAACACATCGAACTAAAACATTTGGGACACAGCAAAGGCAGTCCTCAGAGGACAATTTATAGCAATAGATGCACACATCAAAAAAGAAGAAAGGAACAAAGTCAAAACATTAACTACACAACTCAAACAAATAGAAAGAGAACAGCAGAAAAGCCCACAGCCATCAAAAGAAAGGAAATGATAAAGATCAGAGTAGAAATAAATGAAATACAAGATAGAAAAACAATAGAAAGAATCAATAAAACCAAAAGTTGGTTCTTTGAAAGGATCAAGAAAATTGACAAACTACTGACCAAACTGACAAAAGAAAAAGAGAACTCAAATTACCCAGATAAGAAATGAAATGGGGGACATTACAACAGACCCAACTGAAATAAAAAGGATCATAACAGAGTATTAGGAAAAACTATACTCCAACAAATTTGAAAACCCAGAGGAAATGGATAAATTTCTAGAAACACACTACCTACCCAAACTAACACAAAGTGATGTTGAAAATCTGAACAGACCGGTAACAAGAAAAGAGATTGAAAAGTTAATTTAAAAACTTCTAACAAAAAAAAAAAAAAAGCCCTGGCCCAGATGGCTTCACTGGAGAATTTTCTCAAACATTCAGAGAAGAGCTTACACCAGTACTACTCAAACTATTTCAGAACACAGAAAAGGAAGCAACACTTCCGAATTCACTCTATGAAGCCAGCATAACCCTGATACCAAAACCAGGCAAAGATACCACAAAAAGAGAAAATTATAGACCAATATCTCATGAATATAGATGCAAAAATTCTTAACAAAATTCTAGCCAACAGAATTCAGCATCATATCAAAAAAATAATAATACACCACGACCAATAATACCTACCACTACTGACTGCTCTGACTGTGATCACAACAGAGGGTCCTGGACAGAGCTGGAGAAAAATGTAGAACAAAATTCTAACTTACAAAAAAAGACTAGACTTACTGGCCTGACAGAGACTGGAGAAACTCTGAGAGTACAGCCCCCAGGCACCCTTTTCACACAGTAATGGAGTCACTCCCGAGGTTCACCCTTCAGCCAAAGATTAGACAGGTCCATAAAACAAAATGAGACTAATGGGGCACAACAGCACAGGGACAAGGACTAGAAGGCAGGAGGGGACAGGAAAGCTGGTAATAGGGAACTCAATGTTGAGAAGGGAGACTGTTGACATGTCGTGGGGTTGTTAACCAATGTCAGAAAACAATATGTATACTGTTCAATGAGAAACCACTTGTTCTGTAAACCTTCATCTAAAGTACAATAAAAAAAAAAAAAAATTATAAAGAAAAAAAAGGGACTGGTATTGGCCATTTTGAATCAGAAAATCATATGGTCTACTATGCCAGGAATGGCAAATTGAAGAGGAAGGGCATTGCATTCATTCTCTCTTTTATATCTCAAAAGAGACTGACTCAAGATACAGCCTAATCCTGTAGATTGATTCCTGCCTCATTAACATAACTGCCTCTAATTCAGTCTCATTAACATCATAGAGGTTAGGATTTACAACACATAGGATAATCACATCAGATCACAAAATGGTGGACAACCAAAAAATACTGGGAATCATGGCTGTGATAGTTACGATTGTGTGTCAGCTTAGCTGGACCATGATTCTAAGTGTTTATATGTGATCACTCCCATGACTGAATCTGCTGGAGTAGCCAACCAGTTGAAAGGGAGTTTCCTTGGGGGTGTGGCCTGCATCCAAATATAAGCAGATGTCTGGCTTTTTGCCTGCTCTGGATCCTGCAGCTGCCTCCTGTTCGTCTGACCTCTGGTTCTTGGGACTTGAGCTATCAGCTTATCTGCCGATCTTGGGATTCACTGGTCTTCGCTACCTGTGGTGGAGCCCTGCTCTCTGACCTGCTGATCCTGGGTTCACCAGCCCCGGCAGCTACGTGAATCAGGAGAAGCCTCTTTCCTAATTCACAGACTTGGGACATTCCAGCCTCTACAATTGTGTGAGCTGTTTCTTTGATATAAATCTCTCTATATATATATTTATACACTTTACTGGTTTTGCTTCTCTAGAGAGCCCAGCCTAAGACATTTGGTATGGAGAGTGGTTCTAGAGAAATAAAAGTGTAAGGATGAATTTTCTAAATTGGTTCTCAAG